GAGGAGGGAACTTAGTCAAGGGGGTAGTTATTGATTTCCTGTTCTGATTCTGCCATAGTTGAAGCTTTAAAGGTTGATAATAAAGTGACAATAGAAACAGATTTTCCATGAATCCCTACTACTTAGGAAAGTGAGGGAGGAGGGGGTGCTTGTTTGACATTATGGCCAAGGGGGTGGGCACTTACTTGGTAGATGGCTCTTGTTTGAGGAAATACGGAATGTCATTTGCTTACAATGCTTCTCAATATTGTGTTAATTAATTCAATAAATGAATATTACCCAAAATAAAAGTAATTTGGTTTGTCTGTTTTAGTTAAAAGAATATAGTTTCAGCAAGCAGAGATCAAGCCCTTTGCATTAATTTAACATCACACTGCAAAGTTGTATAATTTTGTATCTATTAACCAATAGGATTCAAATATTTTTAATTGGCAAGCATTACAATTATTAAGTCAAGACCATCATTCTATACTTTTCCTTGACCAAAAAAAGTTGTAGAAATTTGAAATAAAGGTTGAATAAAAACTTAAGGGCCATGTTTCATTCTTTGATTGAAAAGCACTCCACATTTGGGTTACTTATGGGCATACAAAAAAATATATGAATAAAGAACACCTGAGTTTGTCTTTGATTTAAATGAAAAATGGGGTTAAAATCAGAACCTTTCAATACTAGCAGAAAACATTATCTTTTTCTCTCTATAATAAGTGGCCATTGATACTACCTTAAACTTTTAGTAAATTATGAAGGTGTGATTGAGGTAAAGAGCTAATTGACATAACTATAAAAAAGATTCTTGTAAAAATTTTTAATTAAGGTAATCCAAGGACAGATGTTCATTGTTGGTATTGTACTTTAACCTTTTGACCCTTTAGAGTGATTACCATCTTATTTCTCCTTACAATATCACCCCTCAATCACGCATTAAGGTCATGAGAATAAAGGAAATGATCACATGCTGAAGAAAATCTTGATTGTTTTAGAAATTCTCATTGTCCACACTTTGGGAAACATATGAAGAACAGTATGGAGAATATGCATACTGATGTTAGGGTGTAAAGGATTAACCCTCTCATGTTTCTACAGGAAATGTCATGTCTATTTTATCCCCAAGACCACAAGCTATTGTTTGTCCAGGTTTGACTTCTGAGACACCCTCTGGAGTCCCAGTCAAAATGAAATCTCCTTCCTCTAAAGTCATACTCTGACTGATATAGCAGATCAAATAAGGAATTGTGAAGATCATATCCTGAGTGTTTCCATCTTGTTTTAGTTCACCATCAACTTTCAGCCAAAGATGGACATTATCAGGTTGCGGAATCTCTGTCTTGGAGATGAATCTACTGACTGGCAATGCAGTATCAAAACCTTTAGCAAGTGTCCATGGTTGACCCAGCTTCTTAGCTTTATTTTGAAGATCTCTTGCAGTCATATCAAGAGCAAGAGCATATCCCCCAACGTAATCCATTGCATTGGATTCCGCAATAGACACGCCTGTCTTACTAATTACAACACCGAGTTCTACTTCGTGGTGGAGCTCGTCACAACCTGGAGGAAGCTGCAAGCAAAACAAGTTAATAAATAACAGAATAGAAAATAAAATAGTCCATGCACAATTATACCGTACAAGTTACGTTCAAGAAAACCCAAATTCTAGGGTCCAAACTGTATAAAGACTTAGAAATTAGGGGTCATAGGAATTCGCCCTCCACCCCCCCTCCGATCGACAATACCCCTTTTCCAAAGGCCCTCCACGATGTAGTACAGCCCTCCTCATTAGATTTTTACGATCACAAATTTAAAGCTTTAGGTGACTAATTTGTAGCCTTGTACTCCCAAAGTACCTTGATTTTTCCTCCTTGTTGTAGGTAGCTGGATGGCGGCTTCAGGAAGATGAGTGGAGTTTTTGGAACAGGATTTCCCAATTCCGCAGCATGTTCCCTACGTACCAAGCAATAAAATCTTTCATCTTCCTTTGTTTGAAGACACTGAATCAAGATATTGTCGAATCACACTTCTTTTAACAAGCTCACCTGTAATTTCGTCCGACTGCGATTATCTTCCGCCCAAACTCCACGAATCTTCGAAGATCTCTCGAAGATGACATTGCTGCCGCCATTTTTATCTTGATTCAGAGAAATTACGGGACGGGAGGGTACCCTCCACCCTACCCGGGTAGAGAGGGGAGAAAACTACGTGAAGACTTCAAGTAATGCGAAGATCTGCTCTCACCATTAAATACAGAGAATGTTTTTGGAGAGTTAAGCCCCGCTCAAAATAATGTCATCTGCAGCTAAGCTATTAGCAATTGAATTTAAGAAAGGAGTATTAAAATGATAGTAATATTTGTGACAGTCTGAGAAAATTTTTCCAAAATCACTTCTATCAGATTAGCTGCTGAACATGGCTGTTAGCCAGGAAGTAGTGATGGAAACACTGCACTGAATATAATTTAAATCATGAGACCAGTATTTTAAATTTTTCCATTTTATTCAAAAACATTCCAAAAATGTTGCCTTTTGCACACATTTGCCTAGTACATTTTTTTCATTTCACGTTAAGTAACTATTAGGTGTATGAATTAACTTAAATCTGATATTAAAAATGTTAGTCCTTTGGCTGAAGAAAATTTAAAACTGTTGATACCTTCTAAAATATGGAATGTTTGCAACAATGCAATTAATTTTCAATATTTAGCAATGCAAAATTTGAAGCACTTAAACCTTCCATTTTTGTGGTAAGGATCAGAGCTTTTAACCCTTTTAACTCCAAAGAATTCATGAGTAATTCTCCTTACTGTCTGTCATACAATGTTATGTGATGTTAGCTTGGAGAATTTGGAAGTGAATCAACCAATAATCCCCCAATTGATATTTTTCTTTATTCTCATTACTTGTCTATTTGATATCATACTGATAATGTAAGGAGAAATTCTGTCTAGGTCACTAGTGGGCCTTGAAGGGTTAAGAGTATGCTATGTCACAGATCTGACAAAACAAAAATAATTGTAATGAGAAAATATCAGCTTTTAACCCTTTCACTCACAAGATCTAATTAGTAATTCTCCTCACTATCTGCCATACAATTCTTCTGATGTTAGTTCAGAGAATTTGGTAAAAGATCAACTAATAATCCCATAATTGATATTCTTCTCTATTCTCATCACCTGCCTGCTTGATATTGTATTGATATTGTGAGGAGAAATTCTGTCTTGGTCACTTGTGGGAGTGAAAGGGTTATGGAAACTCACCCATATATTTTTAATCATCTCATTTGTGATTTTAGATCAAGATGTAGCATTTCTATTGTTGGTATCACTTGGTGATAGAAAGCAAGAAGTTGGTGCATTTCAGGCGTGTTTTTAACGTTTTGGAGAGATCAACACACTCATCATTTTTATGGGGTTGTACACCCCTGAAAGAAATATTTTATTTACTAACCCTTCCAACTAGATCTGTAATCCTAAACATGTTAGATCAGCCCTTTATGATGACACAGGGAAAGTCATTTCCATCTTATCACCAAGTCCGCAAATTATTGTCTGACCCCTTTTCACTGGAGAACCTCCCTCTGGAGTTCCTGTCAAAATCAAATCCCCTTCCTCCAATGTCATGTAACGGCTGACAAAACTTATTAAATGAGGTATCTTATAAATCATATCCTGTGTATTTCCATCTTGCTTCATTTCCCCATCAACTTTCAACCATAGTTTCACATTGTTTGGGTCAGTAATTGCTGATTTGGGTATAAATTCACTGACTGGTGTTGCTGTGTCAAAACCTTTGGCAAGTGCCCATGGGTAGGTAAGTTTTATGGCTTCATTCTGGAAATGGAAGTTACAATGCAATGACTTAGAAAAAAATTACTCATCAGAGGCCTAGTTAGGATAATTACTTAACCCTTTAACTCCCAAGATATGATTGTTAATTCTCCCCTCATCTGCTATTTGCTTGTAGAGGATTTGATGTTAGATCAATGTAACAGCCTATCCTTGATGATAAGTTTGAGTATTCACATTACCTGTTTGTTGGATAGCATATGGATATTAAGAAGAGAACTAACATGTTAATCACTTCTGGGAGTTAAGGTTAATCTAAAATGCAAAATGATTCAAAGCACACTACTCTTGCCTCTGCTGGGTAAAGTTTGCTATTCTTTGAAGGTTTAGTTACAGATTTGAATAACGTGCAGTCTACGTCTTTAGCTACTCATAGGCCTTGACCAAATTCACAAAGTTTTTAGAACTTTTGAAGTAGCATGATGTGACAGGCTGAAAACAAGCAGGGAGATGGATGTTGGGGTAGTTATAAACTGAATATGGAAGCGATCTTCACTGTAATGAAAACTACTTATTTTTTTATAAGCAGAAGTGAATTTAAGACTTGAAAAAAATTCAGGTCCTTATGGGATTTGAACCCATGACCTCTGCAATACTAGTGCAGTGCTCTACCAACTGAGCTAACAAGCCAACTGGGAGCTGTTCCTTAAGTTGGTTCCAAATAAACCCATGAAGTGATAAATAAATGACTGTAAATATATAAAAATCATATATGTAACTTCATATAAATTAATTACTGTGAAGATCACTTCCACATTCATTTCTTTATCTACAGTTAACATCTATAATTTTCATCTGTTTAAGTCATGTAGTTATAACTTATTGTCAGGCCTTCTCTTTTTGTTGGGGGGGTGAAGGGTCATAAAAGTTCAGGTCTCTCTTCTCTCAACAGAAACTTTTTCAATGCTGAACTTTCACACAATCTCCTAAAAAAATGCTTAATTGCACATTTGGTGAGTACAATCTCTGTTTTGTCCAGCAAACAGGCTCACATAGACTTACTTTTTCAACTATAAGATCAAAATCAGTCATATCCAAAGCCAGGGTATACCCCCCTACATGATCCATGGCTTGAGACTCTGAAATAGATTTGCCAGTTTTGCCAATCACAACTCCAAGTTCTACTTCATGATAAATCTGATCCCGGCCCACTGGGATCTGTTGGAAGAGTTGAAAAAAAATGATTCAAAGACAAACATACACTAGTAGATCATATTGTTTGACCAAAAAATCTCTGAACATGTAGATATGCAAGGAAGTGCACAACTATGTTTTAGCACCCTCTTAGGATTATGAACTGTTTTGGATGCAATTTAATTCACATGTAACACATGCTAAGAGCTGACTTCCAACATTCTTAATTACATGGGTGGTTCCATATAGTTAAAAGAACATGATGATGCAAATCCCCTGTTCTGAACATGGTGATGCAAACCCCCTGTTCTTATTGGCTACTTAAGGTGCAAAATTCCCTCTATGGATAGCGACACGACATAATTAAGTGGTTGTTTTAAACAAAAATGTCTATAACTCTGGCGTTAAACGTGATCACCTCGCTTTCTGAGTGAACTTGGAAGACTTGGTCGGTTGAAACAAGTAACTATTAAGTTCTTACTTTCTCTCAAAGGGATGCCACGTAGTAAACCGTGTAGGGAATCCCCAATCTGAGACCGAACTGATTAAAAACCAAAACACATCATCGCTAGTCAATTCCTAATATCTTTTCAAATCTCGATCCTACTGATACCTTTTACATTATCTCGAGAACTTACCTTAATTACCCCCTCTGGACTCAAATATGTTGACGGTGGTTTTAAAAAAATTAGGGGATCTTGAGCAGGAGGGGGCTGTTGTGGCGATCCGTTGGGCCTAAATTAAAAAAGAAGTCTACAAATGAGACACTGAAAGGGGAAAAAATAAAAATAAAAACGAAACTAACCTGTAGTTTTTACCCACGCCGATAATTTTGCGTCCAAATTCCACAAACCTTCTGAGATCTCGTGCTTGAGAAGCCATTTTCGTTTTGCACAGATAAGAGACTGGGAATAGTGTACTTCATGACCATCAGGAGACTCCGGTCGAAATGCACGTGGGGGGAGCCCGTGGGTCATCGTTTCTGGTCACTCGATGTTCAGATCAGAATTTGCGGCAGACGGAACGTTTATTTTGTACGGTAGAATATTTCATAAGCTTCTTCTTTTTTTATTGTTTGTTTGTTCTCTTTGTTTGATTGGTTTATTTTTTTATCGAGAGGTTCGTTTTTGCTGGTATCGCATTTCCTAGCTCTGATGGGGTGGCGTGTTAGAAGAACGTCGCTTCAACCAAGTGCCATGATAATCACATTTGATTTATTGATAAACTAGCTCTCATAACACACGGTGATTACAATAACAGGAATATTATCAGGATAGCTGAAAATCAAAAGAAGATCGAAAGAAATACAAACTTACACTGTCCAACTCCAGCTCCAAGAATGATACGAAGTTGTGTTTACAGAAATGACTCCTAACTCCTTACTTCGACTTCGACAAATATGGTACTGGATAGCTTAAGGGAGCGTAAGCCCTGAATTACATGGATAGGCTATTACTAATTAACTTGACAAGTCCAGAAATAAGCGTGACTCGCGTCACAGCTGAGCTTTTAAACAAAATACCAAACATTGGCCAATTGAATTCATTAGAAGGCAAATATCTCGATAAGCACAACCTGGTTCCAGCAAGTCCAGTGCTTGAATAAATAACGGACTGCCTCTACTTGCAGCTAAATTTCAATAGGCACTTTTGAGGAGGGAGGAGCTTGCGTAGAGGAACTTATTTGATTTTTGATTAGTGGTTGCGATTCCTTTATGTGATTTACGACAGCTGACTCATTTTCTACAATATTTGTCGAGCTTAAAAAACTATCTGCTTTTATTACACCCATTTTGAAATCACTGGTGGTCCCTGTAATCTGATTGGCTCTAATAGGTGCGATTTATTCACGAATCGCACCATTTTTTGCTTTAAATCGCATCTTTTTCTCAGCCAATGAAGAGGCTACACTAAAAACAAAACAAGCAATCAGGTTTCAAGGCTTGTTTAAAGTAACCCATCAAATTGCAGAAAATTAGAGACAAAGAGTGTCATGTGGCAAATTTTGCAACGTTTGTTTCCAAAACTTTTATTTTTTCCACCCAAAAAATGGATGAATTTAATTTTAAACCGGCTCAGTACTGCATCAATAAAATATTTGAACTTACCAAGCCCTGTATTTGGGCGATTCCAAGATGGATGTAATAAAGCGCTAATTGAACCTCGTGTCGTGTAATTTTGGTCTGAAATCATACTTGTGATTTCAGCTCTAATCAAAACTATAACAAAATTCTCGAACGTGATTGGTTATCACCAGCCCGATCAGAGCACTAATAGGACGGTGTACGCGTCATGCTTGTAATTGGACAGTGTAATAGGACAGTTTACGCGTCATTCTTGTAATTGGACAATGTAATAGCACAGTTAAAAGGACAGTTCACATGTCATGCCTGTGTAAATAGACAGAACGCGTCATGTGCGCGCGTTATTGTCTCGCATTTCGCCGAGTTAACAGATGTTTTTTTTTCATGAAAACGTATAACCGATGTCTAGTTTCTTTCTCAAATTTTTTCATAGTTTTGATTAATTGGTAACAGGAGTTCGTGTCGTCCAATTCTGTCTGTAATCATACTCGTGATTAACAAATCGGACTCCCGCTTCGCGGTCGTTCAATTTTGCTAATCACTCGTATGATTACAGACCAAATTTGACTCCACTCAGTTCTATTACCATTATAAATTGCATTCAACTCAGTTCAATTACTGTTATTAATGGACTCGAAAATTTCAAACTAATGATCAACCCGGATGCGCGCACACGATGCAAAACTTGTCCTTTCATTCGTAACTTCTGCGAAAATATCGGGACCCAAGAGATCCATTAAGATTAATAGACATTTCACTTGCATCTCCGTCAATGTCATCTTTTGTATAACTTGCACTCTTTACAAAAGGTATCACATTGGCGAAACAGAAAGACGACCGATTCCGAGAACACCTTCGTGACGTAAAAGCAATGACAAAGCCCCATTCAAACATTAATTCTAATACTAAGTTCCCATCGATACCGTAGTTCCATTTTGTACCTATGAAACACACACAACGCGCATGTTCTCCATACGCTCTGGCGAAGGGCTAACGCGCAAAACGTCAGCTTCAGAAACTCTTTACAGTGGCCAATTTTCATCATTAACTCAGTGGATAAAACCAACTTAAGTTGTTATACTCCCACCGAAGCAGCACCAATTATTGATAATCACTTGATGGCTGATAATTACTTGATTGAGTTGCCACGTGCCCAGGCACTTATCTCCTTCGATCATCGAAGTGGTCAAACTGGCTAATAGCCAAGTGCTTCATACTGAATTATGAATTATGAGCGTTAACCTTATTATATATGGAAGAGTCACCTCTGTAATAAGTCACGAAAAATGAACTGTGCCCTTCTAAAAATCTCTAGGTTATTTTTATGCTTTAGAAATAAGATTTTTATGATCACTGACTGGGATTTTAGAAAGCTCGTGATATTAGACATTACTTCAACATCTACGCAATATCAAAAAAAATAATTAAATATCTAAAATAACCGAAACAAGAAAGAGGGAAAAAAGGGAAAATTCAGAAAATATGTCGATTGTATCAAGACGTCAGGTGAACCAATGATAACGTGGCTTAGTTTATCCGAATAGGATTTAGTTCCTATCCAATGAATGCCATTGTTATAAATTTTGTCAGCATTTTCCCGCGCTTGAAACGCGGCGACGATGCCAAGCGTTAACAATGGCCGAAACTTTAATAGAGGAAGGCGAACGTCCAACTACAGAAAGACTAGAGCGACAAGTAATCGTTCGTCAGGTCACCCCTGAACTCCCAGTACATTTAAAACTCCTGTTGGCATCAACAATTGTTCTAGTTGTACTCGTCTTAGGGACGATAATTTATTTTATATACGCTAAATATGCAAACGAATGACAGCAGCGAGAACTACGGAGCAGATACAGGTGTCTGCTCACAGGTAGGCCGATATCTTTGCTTGTTTTATCCTATGTCCGCCTCGATTTGTAATTCAGACTCAGCTCGCAAGGTGACGATTTCGGATTTTCAGTAAAAAAACTTCACGATTTTAAGCGTTTACACGCAACTGGAACTGTTGAAAATAATTATTAACGCTTCGGTTTTTGTTGTCCAATGCCGATATGCCTATAAGATTTTTCAAAGATTTAAAATTAAACACACGTTCGTATAGTGTATCCATACAATCGCAATTTTACATTTTCATCCAGAAAATTAGGGAAACAGCTTTAACTTTGAAAAGAAATTTACATTTCGAGGATAAACAATATTCCATTCTCTACAAGCCTAAATTGACGTGCTCTTCAAAATGAAAAGCGATAATTTTGGCAAGTTTTGAAAACCTTCTCATTAAATATTCACATGAAAAGCAGGTTCTTTGCGAATATTTTAATTCCAGTCGTGTTGGTGTAGATCAAATTTTCCTGAAGAAAACATGAGTTTGAAGCTCATCCTTCACGTTCGCCAAACAAAATTAACGCTTATTTCTTTTTTTATTTCCTTTCTGTCAGTTTACTAGTGAAGATGCACGGAACGACTTGGACTTTGCCGGAAAACAGATGTTTTGTAACGATGAAGAGTTTTGGTAATATTTTACACAATACCCATAAATGTCCTTGGCTCTAATTACCTATTCTAAAGGGAAAAAACTAATTTGGAATGTTATTTATGTAATAGTCAGATTTGACGGCAAAAAAATATATTTTGTCGAGACTTTCGGTAACCATGTGAACATTTATGCTAATTCCATTCTGACAGAAATGAGTTTTCGCGTTTTATTTTGACTTAACGTGATTTCGGCTTCAACCCAGAATTCGGCAATCAATTAGTTTCACGTGAAAAGAAAATTAAAGAAAAAGCGTTTTTTCGGTTTTTCATAAAAAGTATGTCGAACTACCAGCTCTGTACGGTCGTTCATCACCTCAGGCTCTTGCATATTCCGTGTAGTTTATCTAGATTATCAACTTCAGGATTGTTAAAAGAATATAATGAGCTGCTTCGGAACTTAGTAAAATGTACATTTAAAACCACCGAGACTAAACAATGTAATAGCAGTTTTAATTATCCATGGCAAAAAGGATATTACTTACAGCTTATAATGAACCCATTTCCATTATCTTAATGAATAGCACCACGGAAAAAGCCCACAAGGATGCGAATGGATCGCCACAAACCAAGGCGCAATGGAATGTAAGCAGGTTATGTTTCAGCTGTATATTTTGCACACATACTTGAATGCTAAATGTTGAAACGTTTTCAAAAAGGTCTTCTTCGAAATATTTTTAAATCCAAAAAGATTACATTCATACCTCTCTCAAAGTTTACTTGAGCAAGTACAGTCTATTTTTTTTAAGTATATCACGTTTCCAAACTAAACTAAATCAATGTTACTGCGACAAATTAACTTTTCTGAATTATTTGTCTTAGGACATCACTTTCAGCAGTGATGATCTAGGTCAAACTGGTGATTCTGAAAGTAAGTCATACACAGCCATATGAGTTTAAAACGACTGCTGAGCCATATTTGCTTGGCTCAAGCTAGCAGTTGATGCTTACCAGTAATTGCAAAAATAGAAGTGTCATATCGGGTTAAGGGTTAAACCCACTCGTGACAAATCAAGTGGACTGAGAAAAGTGGACCCTCCCCCAGATTACCAACAATCACGCAAAAGAAATCAAAGGCATTGCGGAGAGACTATGGTTTGAGCCAGACTCCACTAAAATCCACTAAGACAATGTTAATCTTTAACTCAATCATAATTTCATCTGGTGGGTTACAGGGTTCAATGTACTTGGTTTGGGAATGGAAACATTATCATGGTTGAACTGGTTCATCATTTTACTTGGCACTGTATTCTTAGAGAGTACCACAAATTAATTTCCATTCATGCAAAAAGACACCAAAAAGTTTTTTTTGTGCGTGTGTGTGTGTGGTCAATTTTTTAACCACTCAGGCTCTTTGTTACCCGCTTATTAATTATATCTTGCCAACCTTCTATGATACAAATCATTTTGAGGAAATAAAAATGTCTTTCACCAACAGCATATCCTGATACCTATGAAAACATGATATCAAGGATGGGTGAAATTGAGAAGACTTTGGTAACTGTTAAAGAAACATTATCCGCAGCAAGTGGTTAGTATGAAACAATCGACAGTACGGATGAATGAAACCAGAGAAGCATGGAAAGTAATTCAATACTCTTTTCCTTTTTTCTCAACAGTGCGTTGCCATCTGCTTAATGTTGATGTTGTTACAACGTTTAGTCCAGAAATGCTGGACATCCTGAACATAACGAAGGAACAGTGTGAAGACTGTATAAAAGCAATGAAGACTTTGTCTGCTGAGGACTACTGACCAAAAAATATATGTATATAGACTTAATGAGAAGGCTCATGAGTACTCTTAAAATTCCTACAATGCGTTTGGAAGAGGCAACTGAATAGCTATTCTTTGTTTATTGCACAAAACATAACTGTGCCATATGTAATTTGTAAGAATAACATGGCATAGAGGATAATGACAATTTTCAGCCGTATTTTGATTATGCAAATTGCATGGTACACAATTTTCACATGTGACCTGGTTGTTGAAAAATAGAAGTGGCCTGAAAGCCCTTTGGTTTGCAATTGATGATTCAGATTAACTTCAATTCTTGGTGAAGAATTATAAATTTGAAGAATTGCTTCATTTAATACTTTGTACACAACAATGAGTTGTTGATACTATTTATTTCTGATATACAATTTATCTTGCAGCTAATATTTTACAATGTTGCTATTTATACAATAAACAAGAGAAAAAAATGCAAGGGTTTTTGTCTGTTTATCTAATTTCTAATAAATAACAAGCCTTATGTACATTTCTGTCTAAACAATACATATTTTTTGTTTCAAAATATAAAAATTTCCCTTAAAAAATACATCATTTTAGGATGAACTGCCAATTAAATGGGATTCTACTTACTTAGAAATAAGTAAATATTCAAACAAAATGTGCACAATTTTCATAATTCCACTGCATGAACATGTCACAATGGTGCAAAGACCAATGACAGTTATTTTCCCTCAGGATTTATCTCCCTTAGTTTCCCCATGTTAATGAAAATTGATATCCAGTAATTTTGCATAGCCTTTGAAATTGAAAGTGAATTGTAACCTTTTTCTTGTTAACTATTGGGGCTTTCTGAAACCTGTTGTCTTATCCTCCTCAGAATGCTACTGTTCTTGACTTCTGTAGTATTTGGTCTTGCTTTCGGTGTTGCAGATAACAACCACTGCACCAATTCTGACTAAAATATGATCAGAACAAAAAAAAATTCAATTTTTAAAGCATATAAAAAGAAATAAAATAAAATATCAAACAAAACTCACAAGTGTGAAACATTAGCTGGCTCCTTAAAGCTAAAGGCCCAAGTAAGAAATATTCAAATGAGACGACCAAAGGGACCAGCTACCAACAGTATATGACATAAATAAGGCACTGTACACTGTACCTGTAGTGGCATCTTTTTTTTAAAGTCACCTGGGATCACCCTCTGTTTAACACCACACATAACCTGTAATTAACAGTAACAAATACACAGTGAGTCTAAAAAAAAATTAATAAGCCTTTTTCCCACTGGTAATGGAAGCAATAACCAAATGATCAAGTGTTTCATTCATTTGTTAAATTCCAGCCCAGCCATTTGTCAGTTTTTGTATGTTTTGAGAATTGAACCTAAATGTTTTTCATACTTGGACCACACCTTTCACTAAAGCAATAGCCTTCAGTACTAAATTCTGTATGAAATACATACTCTGAAGCCTATTAAGGTACTTTTATTGAAAAATCAAAAAGAGATATTTGTTGATTTCACAAAACATAGTTAATGGAAGGGAGGTGCCAATAAGAAATGCTGCAAACGCTTAAAAAGAATGCAAACATCAACTTCTCAGTAGAGAAAGTGAAGTCATCCCCTTAGCACTGTAACAGTCCAAAAAATATTAGAAGCTCACTACCTCAGGCTTGGTTAATAAAACTTACTAGCAATCTTGGTGTTCTTACCTTTATTCTTTCCATTTGAGTACCAAATGGACAAAACAACTCAAAAAATATGAGTCCAAGGGAAAAGATGTCTACCTTGTGGGAATATGCCTTTCCCTCCATCTGAATATAATTAAGAGGAAAGAAATTAAGGTTAGTCTGTACTGGAAACAATAATGCTTTCTGTGAAATCTTTGGGTAACCAATCACAAAAAAAACTTCTAAATAAGAGTACTAAAATTTATCTTGAACAGTAATTTTGTAAGATGGGCATTCCTTTCAAATACACAATTATGCTAATAATCTTTGACAGTGAAGAACAGGCCTTTGATAAATAAATTACCTACATGTATGCCATACCAATTCAATAGCAGTACAAAACTTATGGCTCAAAAGGCATTTTCCAAGACAAGTGTGTGTCTAAAACATGACAAGTTACTAGTACTTATACTTGGCACAACTATATCACCCATTGTTCATACTCAGCACTACAAGCAAGCTTACCTGTTCTGGGCTCATATACAACTGTGTGCCAACTTGGCTTGTATGATTCGTGTCATCCATTAGAGAATCTAAACAGATACCAAAGAAATATCTAAAAAATGCAGTTTGATAATCTCAGAGCTAACCTACAAAACAACTTTCAAGTAGCAATAAAAATCTGATTCTTTCAAGCAAGACAATTTACAACTAGTGATGGATGATGTGAGGCCCAGTTGTCTCTGTCAATGTTTCTAATGGTCCAGTTTGGTTTAAATGTTGCCATACCTTTAATGGGTGTGTCCAGGTTGTTTTCTGATGTGTGGGCCGTCACTAATCCAAAATCACCAACTTTCACTGAGCCATCCAGTGAAAAGAAGATATTAGATGGCTGTGAAATAGAATAGAGATATATATAAATGTTAGGAAAAATATGATTATTTCAAAGTTGAAACTAATATTTACACACTGAGGCAATATTCATTGAACAAAATGTTACCCTGTATTACTAGCCTGTAAATCTATGAGAAAAGGGACTTCAAAGTTACTGGCTACATATTTCACATTTTTGATAGAAAATGAATCACTGTGTCCATAAGCTGATGCAATTACAAAATTAATTTAAGATGAAACATTGCATAAAAAGTGAATTTGCCATGATCCTTAATTACAAGTTGACTTTATGACCCCTTACAGTTCTGCCTCTTTTCCATTTGTTTGTAAAATTGCCCTTACCTTTAAATCTCTGTGCATAAGTCCTTTTCCATGAAAGTGCTCAACAGCACCTAGGATCTGTAACATGCAATAAATAATCAGCCTATTTGCTATTAACAATATGTTGGAATTCCATCATCATGGAAGATGCATTTTACAGAAATAGAAATGTCTTTATTCCCACATAACAACCTTGGCATTTTCCACGTTCTAGGCTTGGGCTAATTATTTTTAATCAAGAGGTTTTGCTTCACATGTACACCAGATAATTGATAAGATGAAACTAAGCATCTTAAACCAAATCTTTGTCTGTTTGAGAAGAACAAAAGACAAAACAATGCCAGTAATGTGCTCATTTCTTAAGTAAAATGATACCTCTTCAAAGACATTCAGGCAGTATCCGTGGTCCCTTTCATGATTAGCTTTGAGCCAGTCTTTCAAGCTTTCTTGCTGACAAAGCTGCATCTGGATATATAGGTACAATGGTGCTGACAGCTTATCAGCATTGCATTGCTCATCCTGACAGTTATGCTTCTCTCCTAAAACATAAACATAGTTATAATGTTTAAAGCCAGATGAGCTTAAGGGCCTGGAACTCATTTAATGAATTAAGCATCAGAAAATTGAGTTCCTGGTCATATATTGCATGTTAATACTCATCCAAACACTTTTGGACAGGAAATTTAAACACAAGCATTGGTAAAAATTTTAAGAGTTAAATTCAATTTCTATTCCAAATAGAAACTGTAAGAGGCAAATATTTGCAAAGTCTTTGGACAAACATTAAGATAGCCTCCAATCATTTTAGCTTCCGTACAAAACTAGAAGAGAGCCTTCAAAGTTGGTAGCAACATAAGAAAAAAGAAATAATTAACTGATACATTTATCAGCTAAAATCTCTCTGGTTATGTTTTAAAGCTGCTTCACCTCTTTTCAACAAGATAAGAGGCCAAAGAAAGGTGTCTATTTCCCTTTCACAAAACGATTTAAGTGCAATATAACATACTTAAGCAGAACTTGAAAAATTACAGTTTTCTTGTATGTTTGGTCACATGTAGGCAAATTATGTTCATCTTACTGGAAAGTAGGGAGTGATGTGAAGAGGTTAACCAGAGTTCTTCTGAGGAGCTTGTTTCCTTGGACATGGAATCCTGTGTGCTATCAGATGATGACAATGATCCAATGTTGCCTATGTTAACATCCTACAAAGAAAATAACACAAAATGTAACATGAAAATTCTAATGAGGGTTGATTCAGACTATTTCCTCGTCACATGGTAGAAATCCTAGGCTCATAATCGAATTCTTAGTTTATAACAGGTCAATGTGGTAACTATTTGAGGACAGATGTATCTGCACTACCAGGAGTGTAAGATATAAACATTTACTATTAGCTCAACAGTTTTGAGGAGTTTTCTCAAAAAATTCAGCAGGTCAAAAAAAAAAAAAAATTAAACTTGGCACAACCTTTTAAGCTTACAGTTTATCTATGAACAGCACTCTGTTATATACTGTTATTCTTATCATTACACAAACCTTGTTTTGACTCAAGCCAGAGTCTGAATGTCTGAAGATGATGCCGTGTGATGAACTTTCCTCCAAGGCATTGCGGTAAAATCCATTTTTGGGTACTGTCAGTTCTTTGTTACTTGATGAAGCAAATTCTATACTAAAAGAATCACTGATTTCATTTCTATCTAGAAATGCTTCATTCTCTAACTGATGGATATCAATGATCTCTCCATTAATTTTTCCATTGTCCTCATCTGGATTAGAGTGATAAGATGAATGCCTGGATCGGCTGCAGGAATTTGTTTTCTTCCTTCTTCTGGCCTTCTTTTCTTCACTTATGCCTGCAGGTTTGCAAAAATATTTCAAGACATTAAGTTTCATACTATAAATTTTGTTTTACCTTATTAACCCTGGAACCTTATGCGTGACTAGCATCTAACTTCTCCTTAGAATATAACTACCAGAGCACACACTGAGGTCACAAGAATAAAAAAAAAATGAAGAAACTAAAGAAACTCTTGATTGATAAACAAATTCTCCTTGTCAACACCTAAGGAAATATATAGAGTACAGTATGGAGACTATGCATACTGATGTGAAGGTGTAAAAGGGTTAACTCAATGCGTCCTTTTTT